GGGGGACATGGGGTAAGGGCTCTGCAGCGTCGGAGCCGGGAAGGGGGACGCGGGGTAAAGGCTCTGCTGGTGTGTAGAGCTATGGATATCCTTGCTTGGAACTAACCCCACCAGACATCGCATTGCCTGCACTTCGGACTTTTGGTCTCCTCCTTTCTGTCTGCGTGACAAGAACCTGGGGAGGGGCTAAGGGAAAAGCCTCGAACAATAACCACAACAGAATAGCGCGGGCAGCCACTAGAGAAATCTGCTGCCCCAGGGAAGGCTGGTCACTTAACACCTCACCAAACCCTACTGAAGTCATTGGAAAGACTCCTATTGATGTTGGTGAGCTTTGGAACAGGCCCTAGTGATATCGCTGCAAGACGTTGCCATGAAGAAGATTTGGGTTCTAAATATGATGTAAGTTTCTTGCTCCTGGGGTATCAGGAGCTAGAGTGCTCCAGAAATGGCATGAATTAGTGGGCTTGTGTCCAGTTCACATGCGCACGTTTCTAAGTGCCCTGCAGATGCAGATTTGTACATGCAAATAGGTGTCTTGCCAGCCACTCAATTTGTGCTCAGAATCCCTCTGTGGATAAAATTGGAGATTTATGATGTGACAAAATGTATATATCCTAACCTGTGCATTCAAAGCTCATCAGAGCAATTGTTGCTCTAATTTTAAATCCTGTTTTAGAAACATGGCCCTATTCACTAGGTGTATTTTGTGGAGAGCCTCTGTTCCCCAGTTCAAGTCTAGCGCTTCTGAATTTGGGTTCTGCTGTTTGCTCCCCAGAAGTAACCTTGCCTGTCCAGTCCTGGATCCCTCACCTGCTGTACTTTTTGTTGTTTGAAGGATCTGGTTTTCTAGATGCCACTGATAACAGAATATCCTAATAATGCAAGATACATTCATATTCTAAACACCCGTTAGGATTCTTGAAATTCCACTGGAAAATCGTCTGTCTACTGAGCATAGAGTTTGTTCTCAATAAAATATCAGGAGTTAAATTCTCTGGGGTTGCAATGACATGCTCCCGTGTGCATACATAAGGCTTTACAAAATGTCCCATAACTCACTCCATGTTCCTGTCCTTGACTTGTGCTTTCCCTGTTTGTGTCTCTTCATTTCAGAAACAGCTGGAAACTGGGAGGCAGAAGATTGTGGCTGAATTTCAGCAACTGCGCCAGTTTCTGGAGGAACAAGAGCGACTCCTGCTGGCCCAGTTGGAAGAGCTGAATAAGGAAATTGAAAAGGGGAGGGCTGACTATGCTGCCAAACTATCTGAGGAAATAGCTTCTTTCAGTTCCCTGATCAGTGAGATGGAGCAGAAGTGCCAGCTGCCAGCAAGTGAATTCCTGCAGGTGAGACAGTGTTAGAAACACCCCAGAACCTTTCTCAGGGCAAGAAAGTCTCCTAACCCTTCACTTTTGGAGTGTAGGATTGAATGGTCAAACATACAGTATTGCTAAAATATACATTATTTTTCCTGAAGGGGTTGATAAAATTCCCAGTAAAGTCAATGAAAATATACTTCTTGAGTACAATCAAGCCCTAAATGGAAAAAAAATTGCATTTGAATTCTAGTCGGAGAAGACTCCTCCAGAAATGGCAGACTCCAAATTCTGTTCTCCCTGTCTCATAATGCAAGAACAAAGGGAAATTCAATAAAATTAGAAGGTGACAAATTCAAAACTGATCCACTGAACACATTTTCACACATCACGTAATTAGACTGTGGAACTCACTGCCACCAGATGTCGTTGAGACCCAGCATTTAGCAAAACTCAAAGTGATCAGCTATTGATATGGATAACACAGAATCCAGAGTGATATTAAACCTCATTCATCACTAGACTGAGCCCTCCGATTCCATGTGCCGGGTGGTTATTCAAAGAGCTAGTGTGCTTCCACGTAGAAACTTCCTGGGCCCAGATCCTGAACTTACAGCACTTTTCCAAAGGAGCAAAGGCAACACATTCAAAGTTTTTGTTTGTGTTAATAAATAACAAATAATTTCACTTTGAACCTCAAGTTATGAAGACAAAGTGAGTCCCCTCCAGAGCAGGAGGGATCCTTAGTATGAGATTTGGGACTGAATTTCCTTTTATCTTTCTCCTCTAGGACATCAAAGGCACCTTGAGCAGGTACGTGGCTCCTTCTCACTCTCCCTTTCACTCCCCAATGCAGGGAAGGGATTTTGGACATGAGACCTGGCTCCCCATGGTCCAGCAGTGCAGAGTGTGGGGCTGGTTCCCAATCTCCCTCTGTTAAATCTAATCTTGGGGCTGTTGTCATTCTGACTAGACTCCAGAATAGAGCAGCCTGAGACAAGAGTGATTGACCTACAGACTGCTCCAGGGACCAGCCCAGGGACCCTAACACATGCAGGCAAGGTCTGCTCACTCCCTGGGCTGCTTCCTACTCACCTCCCATAGGCTTTCTTCTCCACCCTTTTCTCTTATAGGGGTTAGACTAGATAACCCCTGCAGTCCCTTCTAGCCCTGTGATTCTAAGTACTCCCTTCCCCCAGTGCCAGGCTCCCAGCATGCTGTTCTTTCCCTGGGTTCCCTCTTTCCCGTTCAAATGCACAGAGGGGGGCTGCAGACTTTCTCACTGCAGCCAATTTCTGTTGCCAGCTTCCTGGCTTTATACTAGCCCAGCCCCCACCTGCTCAGCTGAGCTTCATCGTCCAATCAGGGGTTGCTTTTCTGGCCTAAACCCCTCATGTGTGGCCTGTCTCACTAATCTCCTCTTTCTCAGCTTCCTTCACTCTTTTCGGGGGCTGATGTGGGCTGAACACCCCACCACAGATGTATTAACAGGAGTGTCATATGTAAGACACAGGAGGACGTTGTTCCACCCTTCTTCTTCGAGTGCTTGCTCATATCCATTCC